GTAGTTTGGCAATGTTGAGTAGTTTGGCAATGTTGAGTAGTGTGGCAATGTTGAGTAGTGTGGCAATGTTGAATAGTGTGGCAATGTTGAATAGTGTGGCAATGTTGAAGTAGTGTGGCAATGTTGAGTAGTGTGGCAATATTGAGTAGTGTGGCAATATCGAGTAGTGTGGCAATATCGAGTAGTGTGGCAATATTCGAGTAGTGTGGCAATGTTGAGTAGTGTGGCAATGTTGAGTAGTGTGGCAATGTTGAGTAGTGTGGCAATATCGAGTAGTGTGGCAATATCGAGTAGTGTGGCAATATCGAGTAGTGTGGCAATATCGAGTAGTGTGGCAATGTTGAGTAGTGTGGCAATGTTGAGTAGTGTGGCAATGTTGACTAGTGTGGCAATGTTGAGTAGTGTGGCAATGTTGACTAGTGTGCTAATTTATGTAGTACAACATCAAGTAGAAACAAAGACAAATAGTAGTAGATCTATTAACATTTTAAATGCAAAAGAGTTCTATTTTTAGAACTTAAGTTATTTTGGCCATATTACATACATTCTAACCAGAGTATCAACTATATCCAATTACCTCGACAGCTGTCCCTGCCAAATAAACAAGTTTTTTTTTCAATTTTCTTTAACAAATCAATAATACCTAATACTATTGATATATTCAATTTGTCTGCAACTGATATCAATTATAAACTAGGTATTGTTTGCTCATTATCTCGTTCATATAAATAAACTCTTTTTTTTTATCCAATTAACCCAAACTATTGTTATCAAATTCATCATTGAGAGAATTTTCAGGAGGAAGAGGGGGGGGGGCAGTGAATTTCACAACATATGGTATCTTTTTTATTTGTTTTGTAGATTTAAAAAGCATAACATTTTATTGAACACACTGACTCCACAGAATAAATAAATCACAAGAATGGGTAAGTTTGGGTGCTGAATTTCTCTCTTGTTAACTGTTGACAAGATGTTGACATGAAATGCCAGTCCATAATTCACACACTCTGGTTCCGCATGGTTTCATTTTTAACAGTTCAACAGTTTTTTAGACCACCTACAAAATGTCTGCAAGACCAGCAACAGTCTGTTTAACCAGACACAACCCTTTAAATTCTAACTATTATTAAAACCGTATTTTTTGGAAAGAATATTAAATTCAAAGTTTTTTTCATCTGTTTTGGAAGGAAGGTACGCAATAAAACCGCTGTCACGCGGTCATAAACGTCAGATGTCACATAAGAGCAAAGGTTAGGCAATCAACGTTTGTAAAATGAACAAAGAAAAGACATTTCTCATGCTGCTTCATTAAAGTGACATCTTCTGAGAAGAAATGGATTCAACCCGCCAGTATTTTGGTGCAACATTTTCCAGTTTTTTCACATTTTTTTTTTCTATAGTTTCTGTTAATTTTGCACAAAATGGACATAATTGTCCATCAGATTTCTATCAAAATGTTTAAAAAAGTATGAAAAAGTTTAGATATTGCGAAAAGTGACAGAAAAAGTGACTTTGGAGTTCAAAGATTTAAATTCAATTTAAATTTTCACTTTTAATGTTTCAGTCTAATTGAGAATCTACCTTTTTCTATTTTTGGTTTTCAAAACGGCCA